ATTGAAAAGCTATGAAGACTGGATGAGTCCCTTACACACTCCTTTCCTGATTTTGACCCATGAATTGTTTCCTTGCTCTGTTCTTTAAAAATTAATCTAAACATGCCTAATTTTAAAATGTGAAAAGTCTTCACAAAATGTTAGGAATTTGAAAGGGGAAAAAACCCAAACCTATACACCAAAGTAAAAGAGAAATTACATTTTTTGTATTTGTTTTCAAATCTCTAGGGATATGGCATGAACTTTATCAATGAGGAGGCATTAAAGGAAATTACAAAGGCAAGCACTGTCAGGTTTGTGATCAACAAAGAGAAAACAAGGGAGCTCTGGTGGCCTAATGGCAAGAGGTTGTGTTACAATCCTGAAGGAGCATGGTTCTAATCCACCAGATGCTCTGCTGGAGAAGTAGGGGCAATCTCCTGTGCCAGTCAGATCCAATTTGATGGTATTCAACAAGAAAAACAAAACAAAACACCAAAATACCCCCAAATCAAACCTAATAATTAAAAAAAAGTAAAGAGAAAACATTATTTTGGCAGAGGATATTTGCAGCAAGCGGTGAGTTAAATCTCAAATAATACTAAGACTTCCCAAAACTGAATTAGACTAAGGTGTGGCATCTGCTTTCAAAATAGCTTGCCTCTGGAAACTATGAATGTGAAGAAACTGTGAAGGTTATACAAGTGTTCAGGTCTTTCCTTCATATGGTCGCTATGCATTGTCTATGACTTAACAGCAAAGGGAAGAAATGCTGAAGAGAGATCAATAGAAAATTTTAAAGAGTATAACAAGAAAATGAAGCTAAGTATTATAACAAAGTGTCCGAAGATCTAGTTAGAAAACCAAAAGCGAAGAACATGCTCAGCATTTCTCAAACTTAAGAATAAGTTTAAGCCTTGAGTTGCAATACTCAAGGATTCTATGGGATACAATCCTGAATGATGCACAAAACATCAAAAGAAAATGGAAGTATGAATACTTAGAGTCACTGTACTAAAAAGAATTGGTGTACACTGAACTGTTTCAGGAAGGAACATATAAACAAGAACCAATGGCAATGAAGAAAGAATTCAAGCTGCATTGAAGGCATTAGCAAAAAACAAGGCCCCTGGGGTTGATGAAATGCCGATTGACATGTTTCAGCAAACAGACGTAACCATGGAAATGCTCACTGGGCTATACCAATAAATTTGGAAGGCAGCTACCTGTACAACTGATTGAAGAGATCTGGTTTTGTTACCCTTCCAAAACAATGGGATAGGGGGTGAAATGTCAACAGAAGTGCTATTTCTTCCTTTTTGTTGTCAGTCTGAGTGCTTGCTGTGGAAATGGGGAAGATTATGAAACCCAGGAAGGTGGTGCTGGTCCTGGCCGAACACAAAGCTGTCATCATCAAGAACATTAATGATGGCACCTCTGACCTCCCCTGTAGACTCACTCTGGTAGCTAAAATTTAGCACTATCCCCAAAAAGTGACAGGTGCCATGGGCAAGAAGAAAATTGCCATGAAGTCAAAGATTGAGTCTTTCATCAAAGTTTATAACTACAATCACCTCATGCACACAAGGGGATATCCCCTTGGACAAAACCATTGTCAACAAGGATGTCTTCGGAGACCCTGCTCTGGAACACAAGGCGAGGTCAGCCAGGATCAAGTTTGAAGAGAGGTACAAGACAGACAAAAACCTAAGGTTCTTCCAGAAGCTGAGATTTTTTTTTAGAAACTGAGATTTTTAAATCTTCTATTTCAGTCATTCAAAAATAACTTCCCAAATCCCTCCAAAACAATCCCACACACAAAACCCTCCCATGATCCAACAGTGTGGAAATTACCAAATAATATCGTATGCAAGTAAAAATTTTGCTGAAAATTATTTTAAAATCTCTTGGAATGGTCTATCAGCAGGGAACTTGCAGAAATACAAGCTGAATCAAGAAGAGGCCATTGATCTAACTTTACATCAACAAAGAGATCATTTTATCCATTCAATCTATTCAGATTTACTCCATCCTGAAGGCTATAGTCTTTAATCTTCTGCAGCAAATGTTTCAAGTCCTCTGCACTATTAAGGTCTGCTGAAGAAGGAAGGTCATTATATCCTCCTGTACCAGGTGGATCTGATTTGACAGTACAAAAAAAAATCCTAGCAAGGTTATGTATTTGCTTAATGCAAGTTGTTGAGTAATCTTCCTCTAGTTCTAATGCCACACTCTTCTTTGTATAGTCCAACTTCTAAAATTATTTCTTTAGCATACAATTTGAATAAGTATGGAGAAAGGATAAAACCCTGACACACACTGTTCTTGATTTTAAACTAAGTAGTGCTCCCTTGTCCTGCTTGGTCATCTCCTTTTTGGTTAATGTATAAGTTCCACATGAGCACGATTAAGTGCTATCAATATCAAGAAAACAATCTTCATAGTGTGGAGCCCTGCATCCTCCCTTCCCCGGCTCCAGGAAGTGTGGGGGTTTCAGCCGGCTGGCCCACGAGGTGCATTCTGGGACAGCGGCAACACCAGATCCAAGATGGCAGCCAGCAGGAGGCTGAGGAAAGAGCTTGAAGAAATCTGCAAATGTGGGATGAAAAACTTCTGTAACATCCAGGTTGATGAAGCTAATTTATTGACCTGGCAAGGGCTTATTGTTCCTGATAACCCTTCACACGCTAAGGGAATCTTTAGAATCGAAATCAACTTTCCAGCAGGGTACACAGTCAAACCACTGAAGATCACCAAAACTAAGATCTACCAAACGAACATTAATGAAAAGGGGCAGGTCTGACTCCCAGTAATTCGTGCTGAAAACTGGAAGCCAGCCACCAAGACTGACCAAGTGTTCCAGTCCCTCATAGCACTGTTGAATGACCCCCAGCCTGAACACACTCTCTGGGCAGACCTAGCCAAAGAATACCCTAAGGACCGTAAAAAATTTTATAAGAACTCTGAGGAGTTTACAAAGAAATTGGGGGGGGGGGGGCTAACAACCAGTGGACTAAAATCTGCAGACTGAGCCAGAGAATGTGAGCAGAGACCCCAGTAGTGTATTTAGACCCCCACCAAAGCAGGACTCTGTGGAGAATTGACCGTGCCACCACCAGGCCTACATTTGTGACAGTTACTAACTTTCTACAGTTTTCTTAATCAGAAGTGGTCTAGGTAACCTGTAAAGAAAGGACTAAAAATTTAAGATGTTCTAAAAAAGAAAAAAAACAATCTTCACTACTGGACCATTAGGCAACATCATGATAGAGAAAGTTGTCTATAATTTCATTTTACTTAGATCTACAATAAGATCTCCAATCAACATCATTGGTGATAGCAGTCAGGACATCAAAACATATGTTGCATTGGGAAAATCTGCTGACATGTACCTTTCCAAAGTGCTAAAGAGCAATGATGTCACTTTGAAGACTAAGTTACTCCTGATGCAACCATAGTATTTTTAATTGCGTCCTTTGCATCTGAAAATTGTACAGGACTAAGTGTGGGAAGCCAAATTTCATACTAAATACTTATAATAAACCAAATGCTATATCAGGATATGAGGGAGTTGTGGATACAAACTGGAATTCACCCTGAAGCACCAAGGCAGACCTTAGGTGTCATAGGAGTTAAGCGTTAAGGCAGACCTTAAGTGGACCTTAAGCATTTATACAATTCTTGTATTTTCTAACCCTTCCATCCTGAGTCAAGCATAAGGTTTTCAACAGAAAGAGCTTAGCTTCATTTGCATAGCATTCTCTTTGTGATTTATTCCCTGGCAATTTTCAATAAAGGCACAGGGAAGCTGGGTTTGGGGCTTCAGTTTTTAAAACTGAGCATCCCCTGCTTTACCTCTCCATTTACAGATACATTCTTGGTGTTCTGTCTCGTTTTCTATACTTCCTTTGTTCGACAACAACTAAGGATGACAGAATTATTGATGACTTTAAACTGTGATGTTGGGGAAGAGTAGTGAACATCCCTTTGGCTGCCAAAAAAAAAAAAAGTTCTCTTTTTGGAGGAAGTTCAACCGCACTCATTAGAGGCGAGGATAGTGAAACTTTTGAACGTGTGTTCAGAAGGGACCAAGCCTTAAGGCATGCTGAGAAAAGTGGAGAGACAGAGAAAGAGGAAGACTCTCAAAATAGATTGATATATTAGCTGTAACAAGGAGCTGGAGCGTATCCGTGATGGTGAGGATGGTATGATAGGTCAGGGTTCATATCTGCTGTTCCCTGTTGCTGTGAGTAGTAGTCAACTTAATGGCACCTGAAAACAGCAATATGACTAATTCATAAAAGAAAATATACATTCTATTTTTATCTGTTAAATTAGCTGTGTTTTTGTTTGTGGGGTTTTTTAAAAAAAATTACTTTTTTATAGTTTATGCGTTTATTTCTGGCAAGGGGACAGCCATAGGTATTCTCATAAGTATATATCATTTTACATATACTTATTATGTGCTGTCAAGTCAACTCTGACTCATAGTGACAGTGGCTCTGAATCTTGCCCTATCGTGAGAACCATCCTCGTCTGAGCCTACCCCACTGCTGTGAGGGCAGGTGTGTGTCATAAATACTTAGATATATATGATGTGTGTCATGTAAGTTACTGTCTATAAAGATATGATACTGAATAATTGTTTTGGGAAGAAGTTTGGTATTAGTTATGAAGAGTTATAGTAATCCTATTAGTAATAAAGTAATGCTATTTATTACTTCTTGAAGTCTCTATTAAGCCTTCTTAAGCAGAAGATGTTTATGCATAAAGACCCTCATTCCAGCATTATTTTATTTTAAAACCACCTTTTCTCCCATTTGCAATATATTCTTGAAAATTATTTCATCTATGATCTCTGAATTTGAACTGTTAAAACTAACAACATTAAATTTGATTTGGAATATTAAAATTAAACTTACATACCAGCTAAATGTTTTCTGTCAGGGGAGCAGTTGTAGCACTTTGGTTTTTGTTTGTTTTACTTATTGCATTTTAATAAATAAATTTTTGTTTTTAAGCCCAGGCCATTCAGCCCACCTGTAACTTCTAACACCAGCCCACCTCCTGCTGCCCCTTTGGCCCGGGCAGAAAGTTCTTCCTCCATCTCATCATCTGCTTCATTAAGTGCAGCCAATACTCCAACAGTAGGTAAGTGATTATCAACAAATACATGGGAAATTTACCTCCTAACATTTGATCAGGATAATGATGATGATTATTTTATTGTCCTAATAAAGAATATAACAGTAGAAATTTTATCTGGAAACACATTCTCAATTTATTGACGTTTTCCTTTTCTATAATCTGTATTATCTGAGTAAAGGGTTTTATTCTTGCCAATGTTAAAGAAGCATCAAATTTTTAACTGCTTGTCAGTCTAAGGTGGGAGAAGGATGAGCAGTCTCCTCACATGAGATTACTACCTCTAAAAACCTGATGAAGGGTAAGCTATGGGTCAGTTCCGACTCGATAGTACACTAAAAGAAGTCAGCATAAGTAGTAGGAGGCAAAATATAATACAACCCTTTCTGCTTTGAACTGATAGTTAACATTCCTAAGGAAGTTTGTATTTTAAAAACAATTGATTTAATGGAAGCAAGGATTTTATACTTGCATGAATTTTTTTTCCATAGAAAAATCTAAATAATGAAGTTTAAATAATGCTATTTAAACAAGAGTGCTGCATGTCCTGTTAGCGCCAAAAAGACAAACAAATACGTCGTGGAGAAAGTCTAATCGAAGTGCTCTTTAGAGGCAAGGATGATGAAGCTTCATCTCACATACTTGGGAATGTTACTAGGAAAAGGACATCATGTTTGGAAAGGTGGAGGGTCATTGAAAGAGAGGAAGACCCTCAAAGAGATGGATTGACACAATGGCTGGAGAAATGACATCAAGTATATCAGAGGCGAGGATGACACAGGATAGAATAGGGTATAGGACAGGGTTCAGATCTGTTGTTCATAGAGTGACACTTAAAAACATACAAACCTTAACCTCACCAAACCCAGTATTTTATTACATCTAGATTTACTTAAGAATTTTATTCTGTTACTACTTTTACCCATTTTTTTTCTAAATATTGCTTTAAACAAAGCATCTCTATGGAGAAATAGTTTCTCAGCAAAATCATAACTCAGTCCTTGCGGCCGCTTCTAGGGAACAATGGTGTTGTCCTTAATAATGGTAGTCACTGATTTGTGCTACTTGTATTGAGTAGTATTCACAGTGTAGTCCTTGGACCTGCAGGATCCACATCACCTGAAAACTTGATAGAATTGTAGACCATTTCAATCATAAATTGTGGAGATGGAGTGAGCAATCTCTTTTATCAAGTTTTCTGACCACGGTTCTTAGTTGATTGAATTATATTTGAGTTTAATTTGTTAGAATTCACTTGGGAGAAACGTATCTTACATGTGTGGGCATAAAAGTGACATAGGCTAGGATGAAACCTAACATGGTTTGTTTTTAAGTCTAAATATGATGTTACTTTTTTATTTTACTTTCTTATATATCTTTGTGGGCATTGTGTTTTTCCTATTTTTAAGTTTGTGTAAATGACTATATCTAGTAAATGTCTTTTGCTTTTATTTAAGGAAAATTCATTTTCATTGTACATTCAGTTTTTTAATTTTTAAAATTTTATATTGGTTTACACACAGAATTCATATACATTGTGTTTCACATGTTGCCTATCCACACTGGGTCCAACAGATGTGCATTCAATCTTGCTTGTTTTTGTTTTCATTCAATCTGTATTTTAAGTGTAAAAACAAAGATGATTTTATTAGAAATCAGCCAAGGCACATGATTTGAGTAACCACAATATCTTGACCTCATTTCTGTTACCTCTAGATTACTCAGAGCTTTTCTACTTATGATGGGAAGTGTAAGTTAATGTTGTTTGCATTGGTACATATTTGCTCACCATTTGAATCAGTGTGGGCAATGGGAGAATCAAAGCAGGTGACAGTGTTGGTATAAGAAGGCAGGTGATAAGTAGATTTTGTACAACAAAAGTTCTTTACATCTACCTAAAAAGTTCTCTTATTAAGCTTTCTGCTTAAATTTAAAACTTTGATTTCTTGTTTCTTGAAAATGTTTTCTTTTCCTGCAATATTTTGTTTTATTTAAATGTAATAGAAGATGATAATTTGATTGGGACTCTCTCTGAGATTGAAAAGCACTGTGAGACGTCACCAGGTATTGTATGAGAAGGAAATGTATATGTTGACTAATGATTCTAAAGTGTAGCTAAAATACCTTGTGCCCTAAGTTTCCCTCTTCCAGCAATGTATGATGTCTCAGAAATTAAGAATAACTTTAAAGTTTTAACTCTCTCGATTTTGTACTAATTCTGTTCAGTAGCTGTCCAAGAATCCTTTAGAATCAAATCCCCAGTTATTTTTTAAAAATATGTATTTGTATTTACTTTTATGTCTCTCTTCTTCTTCCAACATCAAGAAGTGTCAATGAATCTTAACACTAAACCTAGAGTTATGATGAATCTTAACTCTAGAGAACTGCATATAAAATTATTAGAAAGGGAGGTGATAATATTGCATCAGTTTAAAAAATTCTTAGTATAGTAAATTAAAATTGGTAGTGTAGATGTAATAGTGAATGACTTTTCAATCCTGAACTGAAAGGAGCTGTACTGAAATAACTGTTAATTCCCTGAGAAGCAACAATTTTGAAAAATACTATATAACATGGGACAGGCTGAGAGAGCATTATGCTGAGTGAATTTAGGCTTATAAAGATAAATATGACCATTATTGTAGAAATAGAAGAATAACTAACAAGATGTGTATAAAAGTCAAAAGGGAGAAGGGGAGGGCGGGGACAAGAGGGCTGAGGGGGGTTGTGGTGGGGGAAATCATGAGGTGACAGAGTTTGGTGGGTGTAACAGGTGGGGGTGAAGAAATTAGGAAAGACCCAGTGGGGAACTAAAATGACAAGATAATAGTGGGCATAGATCAGTGGTGATTAATTTTGTAAGATGTAGTGTATAGGAATGATTGTAAGAAAGTGTTTATTTTTCAAATTATGCTTATGTCTTGTGATTTTAGAAGGAAAACAAAAAGAAAATTCAAAGAATTTTCCGAAATGTTTCCTGATTTGTGTTTATCTCCTATTTTCTGACATTTTTCTGTAATTGACAGTGTTCTAGTAATCTTCATAACAGTGTAAATTAGAACTATTTCAGGAATTCTGGTGTTACATGTTCAAATCAGATAATTGAAAAATTAACTAATTTTGTAGATTTTCTTTAATTTTTTCATATTGAAGCAGTTCCTGACCTTCAAGTTTTATACATAGCCATTTTGATGAGTTGAGCAAAGGAAAATATTAATTGCATGTACTTTGCTTTAGCAAAGAAAGATTCAGAAAGCAAATTTTCACACTTTTCTTGAAAATTTGCTTTGCTGAATTTCTGATAACCTTAGAATTGAAAATAATAATATATCAAAAATAAAAAAATTTAACCTAGTTAAGTTTAGTGACATTTTTTCCAATGTGTATAATGCTATTTCATGGATCTTGGCAGAAAGCAGAGAGTACAGAGGAGTGTCTATCTGTGCTTCGTTGACTATGCAAAGGTGTTTGTGCGGATCACAATAAGCTGTGGCTGACTAAGAAGAATGGGAATCCCAGAACATTTGATTGTGCTAATGCGAAACCTATACTTGGACCAAGAGGCAGTCGTCAGAACAGAGCAAGGAGAAAACTGCATGGTTCAAAATTGGGAAGGGTGTCCGCCAGGAATGTATCAATCTTTTTGCAGAATAGATCATCCAGGATACTGGACTATACAAGGAGGACTGTGGCATCAGGATTAGTGGAAAATTAATCAACAACCTGCGTTATGCAGATTGTCAACAACCCTGCTTGTTGCTGAAACTGAGGAGGACCTGAAATGCTTGCTGCAGAAGGTCAAGGACTGCAGCCTTCAATACGGATTGAAGCTCAACATCAAGAAAACAAAGATTCTTACCACTGGGCCAATTGGCAGCATCAGTATAGATGGTGAAGAGATTGAGACAGTTAACAGTTTTAGTTTGCTTGGCTCCAGAGTCAACACTCTTGGAACCAGCAGCCAGGAAATTTAAGAGATGGGAAAGTCAGCTGTAGAGACCTTTTCAGAGTACTGAAGAGTAACGATGTCAGACTGGAGACTAAGGTGTGCTTGATCCGGGCTATAGTCTTTGCAGTGGTGTGCTATGCATCAGAGCTGGACAGTGACTAAGGATGATAGAAAGAGAATTGATGCCTTAGAGCTGTGATGCTGGAAAAGAGTATTGAATATACCATGGACTGCTAGAAGAACAAACAGGTTTGTCCTGGAGAGAGTGAAGCCAGGCTGCTCCTTGGAGTCAAGGATTCTGAAGCTTGGACTAACATACTTTGGGCATTTTGCAAGGAGGGACTGGTCCTTTGAAAGGGACATCATATTTGGGAGAGTAGAGGGACAAATGCAGGAGAGGAAGACCCTCGATGAGACGGATTGATTCTGTGATGAGATGGTGGGAGTGTGTGTGTCAGAGACAGGTTAGCACAGGATAGAGCAGGATTGAGTGCTCTTGTACATAGGGTCACTATGAGTCGCAAGTGACTCAATGGCACATAACAACAACAACAACATATTGCTACGTGAATGAATAATGACTTAGTTTGTACTTAAACTGCTCTTTTCCACTCTACAGTGCTCACATCTTGGACCTAATCATCTGTCACCCAATAAATAGAAAGTTGAATCTATCAGTTGTCACTTTTCCTTTCAGTGTAGGCTCTTCTCTGTTCAATGATCTTACTAATTGAAAAAAGTTAGTATTGCTTCTCTTAGACATTTCAGTGCCAGAGGTGGTCCTCCATACTGTTATCTGTATCATAATCACGTCTTCAGCCTCATTTCCTGTCTTTCTAGCACCACATTTATCTCTCACTCATGAAGTGTGCTTGTGCTTTACAAAACTTAATTGTGGCTCAAAAGGCACCAATTTTTTCTTCTGCTTCCTTAACAAAGTATCAGTCACATTTTAATGGTTAGGAAATCATGGTTTTTATAATTTTATGGATAACTTTTCACATTCTTGAGTTCTTATTTTCACACTCAGTTTTAAGGTTTTTTTTTTTTGGTTTGGAGTGATAATTGCTTGTTGGGGTTTTTTATTGTTTTGTAGCAGATGGAGGTTTTCCTCTTGACTTTGAAGCAGGAGTTCTCATCTCCATATATTTTTAAAATGCCAAACTATGTTTCCAGCTTTGAAGAGCTTTCAAAATAAAAATGTCTTTAAAATATTAGAGAAAAAATATTAAAGAAAAATTTACTGCTTAAACCTAGTGTCTTTTCTCACTGATTGTAGGATCACAGATTTAGTTGTGAGGTAGAGAAAGCCAGTATTGATTTTTCTCAGAATTAATAAACTAGTTAAATCAGTCTTTGATTATAAATAATCACATCCAGAAAAATATGTGTTGGCTATATGTATTGTGTAATATTCACATAACAAAAGCATACATTCAAATTCAAAAGTTAGTGTTAGCCTAGCACAGTCATTGTCTTCCTTAATTAAGAATAAATAATCGCATAAGGAGCAGTTGTTGTTCAGTGGTAGAACTCTTATCTACCATGCCAGAAACTCAGGTTCAGTTCCTGGCCAATGTAGCTCAAACCTGGTCACCAGCCAGCTGTCATTTCGAGATTTACATGTTGCCATGGTGCTGTGAACATCTACACCAACACAGAGTAGGCAGGAAAACCAGGAATTTTACTTCTGAAAACCAACCATTGAAAGAAAGCTCTCTGGATCAAAACATTGTGGTCCTGTTAAGCTAAGCATGCAGTTGGCCAAGAGTTGGGATAGATTCTGCAACAGCTGACAGCAATACAAACATTAGGTAAAGTGGAAGTTAAGAGAATTGTGATGATAATGAATAATGTTAAAAAGATCTTAAATACAGTACTTTAATGCTTTGAAGTTTGTGATTAGAGTCTGGAAAAAATATTTGGATGTTATTGAAGTCATATCTTCATAATTTTAGCTGTTCACTTAAAAAATCTTTCCTTCTGAGGCTATATAACCTTTCTGTGTTATTCCATTAAAAAACAAAAGGCATTGTGATATATTTTACTGATTTTCTCTTTAGTGTCTTTTGTATCTTGTTCTAGTTGCCTTTTTGCTATATTTTTTAACCTCCAAAATTTATACTTTGGACATTATTGAAACCAATAATAGAGTCATTTGTGCCAGCCTAACATTGTGAATCTGTTTGTCTTGCTGTTTAATATATCTTTCTGAAGGATTTAACAAAAGAATTCTGTCCATTCTAGGTGTATCAAGAGGTCCGAGCCCTGTCAGCCTTGGAAATCAGGATACGCTACCTGTGGCAGTTGCCTTTACGGAGTTTGTTAATGCCTATTTTATGGGAGCAGATCCCACCAAGTTAGTTTTAAAATATATTTATGTATATGATGTATATACTTTTCATGTGTGATGGAAATTGGATGGGTGGGGGGAGGTTTGGGTGTTTGAAGTTAAAGTTTGAGGCATTTTCCATTTTTTGTTACCTGCTTTGTGCTATCTAATATAGCCATCTGAGGATGGTCCCCTGGTGGCTTAGTGGTAAGGAATTGAACTGCCAACTGAAAGTACATGGTTTGAATCCAACAGCTGCTTCACAGGAGAAGATGGATCATAGTCTGGTTGATTCACTTGTCTGAAAACCCACTGGAGAGTCAGTTATGGGTCAGTTCTGTCTCTGGTTCACAACAACAAACAGTAATCAGTGATAGTGCAGCCTATTCCCTCCGTTTATTTTTGTCTGGTTTTATGACTAATGTGATAGTGTTGTCTGGTATATCTTCAGAGCAGGATGATCACTTAGGTAGGAATGGCACTTTAAACTTCACTTAAGACATAGTAATGGTGAAAGCATGACATTTCCAAGGGAACTTTAAAATGTATTTTCAATATATAGATATTCTTCTTTTTTTAAAAAAAAAAACGCAAACACAACAATTTTAATTATGATTTTAACAAAAGTTTACAGAAAATTTGGATTTTTGTTCATTCATTGTTGCACATTTTCCTCCCTATCCCCCAGTTTGCTTTTTTTTTATTAAAAAAAAGCATTCATTAGGTTTCGCATATTTTCCTTCTTCCCTCTCTACCCCTCCCCTAGTCCACTTTGCTATGCACTTTTTATTCTGGACTGTCGTCATACAAATAATGCATAATCATATATTCCTTTTAAACAATTCTTTACTTCATCTGTCCCAATGTAGTGTTCATTATTTATCCCTTCTTCTCTTAGTTTCCTTCCAACCCTTAATCTAGTCCTGTTTTATAACAGTGATGTTATGCGATATTTATCATTTTGTGACCATTTCACTCAGCATAATGTCCTCCAGGGTCACCCATGTTGTGTAATATTTTACGAGTTTCTTGTTTTTCAGTGCTGTGTAATATTCTATTGTGTGACTATACCATAGTTTTTCTATCCATTCATCTGTTGATGGGCACTTGGGTTGTTTCCATCTCTTTGCTGTTGTAAATAATGCAGCATTAAACATGGGTGTGCTTACATCTACTTGGGTGAAAGCTCTGGTTTCTTTAAGATTTATTCCCAGTAGTGACATTCCTGGGCCAAATGGTATTTCTAGATCTGACTTTTTGAGAAAGCGCCAAACTGCCTACCATAGTGGTTGGATCATTTTACACTCCCGCTAGCAGTGAATAAGGATTCCATTCTCTCCACAACCTTGCCAGTATTTGTTGTTTGCTGCTCTGCTGAACTTTGCTATTGTTATTGGGCAATATATGGATTCTTGCAGACTTTATTTAGCTTGTTTCTTTAAAGAAAATTGTATTTAGCTGAATGATTACCCCACTTTTCTTGCATAACATTATGCATTTAAATTTATTCACACGTCATATATTTAAATGCTTACTGTATCTTAGAATCTCTTCTGAATGCTTGGAATATGATGTTGTTGTTGTTGTATACCATCAAGTTAGAACCAACCTGTAGCTGACCCTATGGCAGGTTTTCAGAGGCCGTTAATTGTGCTGGAGGAGATTGCCCATCCTTCTCCAACCATGTGCCTTTGGGGTTGCAGAGTTGCTTTCTCCTCCGCTCGTATTATAATGAAGACAAAACTAATAATCAAAGGAATAGATCCAGAAGGTCAGTGGCTTGAACTTAACAGCTGCTCCTTAGAAGAAAGATGGTGCAGTGTGATTCTTTAAAGATTGACAACCTTGCAAACCCGATACAGGCAATTCTACGCTTTTCTGTAGGGTTACTATAAATTAGAATTGACTTCAACATAGCGGTGTTATTTTGTGTAAACCTATACAACATAGCAGTGTTATTTTGTATAAACCTATTAGATGAAACCTCTTTGATGTGATTAAGTAACTGATTGAAAGATAGAATCAAGCAATGCAGATACCTGAAGGAAGAGCATTATAGACAGAGGGAACTAGTAGGTGTAAGGAACTAAACTGGAAACATGGTTGGCATATTCAGGAAGCAGCAAGGAGACCCAAGTCTCTGGATTGGGGCAAATAAAGGGGAGAGTAGTAGAAAATTAGAGATACCAGATCACTTGGCATTGTAGGGCATGAGGAATTTTTAATTTAGTAAGGTAAAAAGCCAGCTGAGTGATGAGCTTACATAAGTAATTGAAGGTACTGCTATCTAGACAGTAAACTGGAGGAGACAGTACTTACAGAGAGTTGGAGGGTTAACCAGACCTAGTCTAGTTGAGAGATGAATGATAGGATATTGGTAGAGGAGAGAATCAGTAGTAGTTAGATGATGAGATTATGGATGTATTCTGAAAACAAAATTGTCAGTGTTTGCTGACAATTAGAATTAGAATGCAGAAAATTTGAAGTACTAAATAAGATGTCTTTGTGGAGAAATTCCATTGATAGTTCCTGGCCCCAAAATTTCATACATAGACTTTAGCTTTCATATGATAGTTTGAGAACTAACCCCTAGAGCACTCTAAGATTTAGAAAATAGGAAGATGAGAATGATACAGCAGAGGAGTTTTACAAGCTGGAGTTTGAGACAGTAAGAGTGGTAGAGAGAGAACCAATAGAGTGGCAGTTTAGAAACTAAATGAATACCATTTTGAGAAGGAAGATGTGAAGCTAGGTCCATTGGTACTGACAAGTTAAAAAATTGTAGCATGGGCAATATAGAAGTCATTGATAACTGTAACAGGATCAAAATTCAGTAGGTGGTAGAAATGAAAACCTTTGAAATGGCTCCAGAGCAGGAGATGATGCAAGTATAACCACTAGATTTTGAATGGAACAAATATTGACAGCTCTTTTAAGATACTCTGCTCCAAGTAGTAGAAAGAAAGGAAATAGTAGGGGTGAGATGACACAGTCAGAGTAAGGTTTTGTTTCTTTAATGCTTGTGTTTGTTTTACATGTATGTATTTCAGCATGTTTGTGTTTCAGCATGTTTGTATGCTGAAGAGAAAAATCTAGTATTTAGGGAGAGAAAATAATTCTATTGATGAAAAGAGAACAGTTTCCATGAAATGAAGTTCTTCAGTATATAATAAGAGGTGAAATCAAATGCAGAAATGGTGAGATTGATCTTAGGTGCCTAGACTGACCATCTGTTGAAGAACAGGGAGGCTAAGAGAATATGAGTACAGATGTAGTTAGATTAGGAGTTTAGTAATGAGCATATAAGGAATGTCTTTTCTGCTTTTATTTCCTCATTGAAGTGAAAAATAAAGTCACCAGCTAAAAGTGTAAGAAGGAATAGGCTACATTGAAAGAGAAAAGAGAAGGTATAAAAAGATCAGATTAGTGAAATAATAGACCACTAACATAATAGAATTTTATAGGTAGCACTTGGAGGGTCCAGTTGGAGACTCTGGTTTTATTTTTGTCCAGGGCCATACTATGGCTACATCGCAAGGGAGTTCTGTTCCGTAACGAGTTTTATTGCTAAGCCAAGTCCATGCTTCTCTGGCAGTTCAAAACTACGAGCAGCTCCAAGGGAGAAAGATTGTCAGTTTTTTATGTGATTTACAGTGTCAAAAACCTGATGAAGAATTGGCTGTGATTTGAAATTGTTGGCGTTGAGTTACATATCTATTTTTGTATATATACAAATATACATATATACACACATACATACATACAAATGTACCATAACCAGTTGTTGTTGTTGTTATGTGCCGTCGAGTTGCTTGTGACTCATAACGACCCTATGTACAACAGCCCTAAACTCTGCTCTGTCCTGTGCCAATCGCACTGTCTCTGACACTCCCATCCCGATTATCCCAGTCACTGAATCAATCCACCTCATAGAGGGCCTTCCTCTCCTGCGCTGTCCCTCCACCCTCTCAAGCATGATGTCCTTCTCTAAGGACCGGTCTCTCCTCACAACACGTCCAAAGTATGTTAGACGGAGTCACAGAATCCTTGCCTCCAAGGAGCCACCTGGTGTAACCCTTTCCAGGATGAATCTGTTTGTTTTCCTAGCAGTCCATGGTACTCTCAATACTCTTCCAGCACCACAGCTCAAAGGCATCAATTCTCCTTCTATCCTCCTTGGTCATTGTCCAACTCTCTGATGCATAACAAGTGATTGCGAAGACTATGGCCTGTATCAGACGCACCTTAGTCTCCAGAGAGACACTATTGCTCTTCAGTACTTTGGAGAGGTCCCTAACAGCAGACTTTCCTATCACAATATGCTTTTTAATTTCTTGGCTACTGTTGCCAAGAGTGTTGAGTGACAGGGGAGCTCTGGTGGCCTAGTGGCAAGAAGCTGTACTATAATCCTGAAGGTGCATGGTTCAAATTCACCAGATGCTCTGCTGGAGAAGGAGGGGCAATCTCCTCCAATGACAGTCAGATCCATAACCAGTTAGCATGGCCATATGCTTTATGCTTTTCTGTAGTCATGTTTAGTTGTATGCAGGTTTGTGAAAAGCTGTGTTTAACCAAGGATGTGTTTTTCCATGTGAATACAGTCAGATGAAAGAGAGGCAAGGGAGGGGTATGTAGAAGTGTCTGTACGTTGATGAACTAGAAAATCTAAGAATAGGAAGAAAATGAGGATCTGGAGGGATGAGTGAAGATTTAGTAAAAGTTCTGATAGGATTGGTGTATTGTTGGAATTGACTACTGGATGGAATGAGTGGATTGGAAAAATGCCAGATAGTAGTTAGATGAATAGGAGTCTGAAATCAAGATTATGGAGTAGGGCTAGAAAAAAACAGTATTATTATAAGGGCATGAAAATGAATCATTAAGGGAATGAAAACATCAGATGGGCAAGATATTGGAAGAATCTTCTTTCTTAAATAAAATCATTAAAATTATGATAGGAATAGTGGTACAGAAAGTTAGTTTGAAGACATTTTTAACAGGCATGGGTTGGCATATAGAGTTCAAGGACGTGGGGTTTTAAAAGGTTAGAGGAGGCAATGAGGAGTGAGAGTGACATCTACCACAGAACATGAGGAATAATTACCACAGAACATGAATGAACATTGTCACCTTTGCATGTGTTTAATTTCATTGAATGAATGGTAGATGATTATGTGATTTCATGTGAAATAACTTTATAATTGAAAAAATAATCTATAATTAGGATGAAAGATTGTGTGTACACACACATATTACATTATGTTGCTGGGTGTCATTGAGCTACTCATAGCAACCCTGTTAGCAACTACTACTCATAGCAACTCTGTTAGTTAATTAACTACTATTGTTGTTGTTGATTGCCTTCAAGTTGAGTACGACTCATAACGGTCCTAAGAACAAAAGGCCTGAAGCCCCTCTACAACTATCGACATTTATCAAAGTTCATAGAGTTTCCAGAGGCATTTAGGAAGTGGATGTCACTCCTGCTTCCAAATCTGTCATATTGTTATTGTTTTTATGTGCCATTGAGTCGCTTGCAATGTATAGTGACCCCTATGTACATCATCTGAACCTGTCCTGAGCCAGTCTCACTGACTCCACACCAACCTCCATCACCCTAGTTACTGTATCAAGCCGCCTCATCCTGGTTCTCCCTCTCCTTCACTATCCGTCCACCCTTCCGAGCGTGATGTCCTTCTCCAAGGTCTGATCTCTCCTGACCATTTGCCCAAAGTAAGTAAGGCAGAGCTTCAAAATCCTAGTCTCCAAGGAGAGACTTGACTTCACCCTCTCCAAGACAGACATATTTGTTTTCTTGGCAGTCCATGGTATGTGCAAGACTCTTCCACTCGAAGGCATTTATTCTTCTTCTGTCATTCTGTTACCCTTAGCAACTATTCATAGCAATGAATAACATATCAGAACCTGTCTTATCCTCACAATTTCTGATATTCCTACTGTTAAAGTCACTTAGTCCATCTTCTGGAGAGTCTTCCGTTCTTCTTCTAAGCCTTCTTGACAGCATGATCAAAGTATGTAAGACAAAGTTTAATCATTCTTGCCTCTAAGGAACACCCTTACTTCACTTCCTCCAAGATAGATTTATTTTTTCTTTTGGCAAGCTATATTCACTACTCTTCTCCAACACCACGAATCAAAGACATCAGTATTCATTCTGTTATCTTTACTCATTATCCTACTTTCAAATGCTTAGAAATTGAATAGACCATGAGTTGAATGAGGCACACCTTAGTCTTACCTATATAGAGATCTATATATCTGTGCATATATGTGTATGTGCATCTGAGAGCTGGGTAATGAATAAGGATGGCAGAAAAAGAATTGATAACTTTTAGCTATGGTGTTAGAGAAGAGCACTGATCAGCCCAGGGATGGCCAAGAGAACAAACAGGTATGTCTTGGAGTGGATGCAGCCCCTTTGGAGGCAAGAATGATGAAACTTCACCTTATATACTTTGCACATGCTGCTATGAAGTGCTATTCCTTGGAGAGGTACATGATGCTGGGAAGGGTGGAGTGTTGGTACAGGAGAGGAAGACCTTTGACCAGGTGGATTGACACAGTGACTGCTGCAATGGGCTCTTGTGCGTGAGGAAGTGTGAGAATGGTACAGGATAGAACAAGGTTCAGATCTTTGGTACATAGGGTCACTATGAATCACACTTGATTCAGTGGAATGTAACAACAACATATATAAATAAACACACATAAAATTTATAAACATACATGTTTGGGAATGTGTGTGTATATGTATGTATGTGTGTGTGTGTGTGTGTGTGTGTGTGTGTGTGTGTGTAGAGGTATATATATGTCAGTCTATTACTTTTTAAACCAAATATCCTTTGAATATAGGTTAACGCATTTTACTGAAACACTTTTCAAAATCCCCAATTTCAGGTGTATTGTAAAGATCACTGGTGATATGACAATATCATTTCCAAGTGGAATTATTAAAGTCTTCACTAATAATCCGTCTCCAGCTGTGCTGTGCTTCAGGGTGAAAAATATCAGCAGACTAGAGCAGATTCTTCCAAATGCACAACTTGTGTTCAGGTTTGTGGACTTTTAATTATCTTGTAGTGTTTTAATGGTAAAATTCTCCTTTAAAAAATTGTTTCCTTTTTTGAAAAAATAATATTCAGTACCTACCTGGCAGGGAAGATACCATGATCACGATGGTTGTTTTCCCAGGGTAAGGCTTATGGTCAGCACCCCTGCAATTTCCCCAAATGTGGGAAACTCTACTGTAATTTGTGGTAGTGGGGAACTGTGTTCACACTCTCCCCTTTAGAGAAAAGATGGTACACAGATTGAAGACAGTACCAAATTACTTGTCATTAAGTAACCATCCAGTGTCTTTATTTGATGGTAGTAGGTTGTTTAAGTTTGCTTTTTTTTAAAGTCTTAAATCCTCTCCATCTACTTTTATTTCAGTATTTCAGGCAACTTTCTACTGTGTTCTACTCTTTATCCCTTAATATTACTTTTCCTTCATCCCACTATTGGTTCATTTCTGCTGGTCTTTTCCAATCACCAAATTAACAAGAAGTAAAAGATATGACAAAATAACAGAAAAGGTTTTTTTCTCTATATAGTGATCCATCACAGTGTGATTCTAACACAAAAGACTTTTGGATGAACATGCAAGCTGTTACTGTCTACCTCAAGAAGCTGTCAGAGCAAAATCCCGCTGCTTCTTATTATAATGTAGATGTGTTAAAGTATCAGGTGAGTTCCATATCTCAGCTAAAAATCCTAAATAAAATACTAACAAATACAATAGACAAAAATAATCAAACTCATTTCCACTGAAGCATTTTGGATTCACAAAGACTCTCCATCAGATTTCTGAGGCTGCAAATCCTTATAGATTATTTACCTTCCTCTCACAGAGTGTCTGGTAGGACCTCCAGCCTTTTGGTCAGCAGTCCTGTGTGATACATCAGATTGTTTAAAATTACTGATAGCCAAATGAAACTCATAACAAGAAGGCAAAAATATACTAATAAATTAATGCATTTTGACCAGTTGATAAAATTAACCAATTCTTGATCAAAAAGCTGAGTAAATATCAATACATGGATGCTTTTATAGTCTGAAAAAAGTTTTCTGGGTTGGCTTTTTTTCCCCAAAAAATAAAGACAACTAAAAACACACTGCTGTCAAATGGACTCTAACACAGAACAACCCTCCAAAGGATTTCCAAGGCCATCTTTCTCCCATGGAACACTTACCTTTAGGCTGGCATCACAACTCTTTACCAGTCATGCCACCAAACACTTCATAAGTACATATCAGTGGAGGAGGCAATTAAAGAGGAGTTATTAAATATGAGTTATTACAGCCATTGAAAAGAATGTAGTGAACCCATGTTTATATATGCCTAACAAGCTTGGGAATGATGTATTATCATGATGTTGACAGATAATAATAAGATTGTCAAGGGATGAAATTTTATTTTGGTGCTCTGGTGGTTTAGTGGTACGAAACTGCACTTTAATTCAAGGTCTGTGAATCCAGCTGCTCCATGAGAGTAAGATGGGCATCCCCCCCCCCCCACCAACTCTGAAAATCCCCTGGAGAGTCAGCTATGGGGTCGGTTCCAACTCAGCAGCACTCCACAACAACATATTGTTTGATATTCTGTATTGCTTGCTTGCAGCCTGTATACATAGAATAAGCACTCTTTCAAAGAGAACAAAGAGATAATGTGTAGTTTATAACCAGAAAAATACTTGTCAGAGTTATTCCTTCTGACTAGTGAGAGTGTTGAAACCCTTCAGCTCAGTAAGCCAAATTGCCACAGTAACTGAAATGATGGAGAAAACATGCTGGTGACTGAAGGATGACACAGGACGACGTGGCAGTGCAGTGCCTTGATGGCAGCTAACAATGTCTTTTGACTTTCTAATAGAGCAATTGTATTAAAATGGTTTGTATTCTAGGGAATAAATACAGACTGAAAAAGTGCTATACTTAAATTGGCTTTAGGTTTATTCTATGTATTCATTTGTCCATTCAATAAGCATTTACTCAGTTCTTTTGCCAATTTTTGTCAATTGCCAGGGCTGTAGTGGGGGAAAAGAAATAATTGCTTGTTAGAAAATAAGTGGTTTGGAGAAAGGTAAAAGTGGAGAATAAGAAAGACTGCAGATGCAATTTTAATATAAATTTTAAACAGATGATGAGAGGAATCATTTGAGCAAAAGAGCTAAAACTTTTGAGGGAATTGCAATATTTATATGGGTCATATCTTTATAGATAAGCATTTGAAATTGGAAGCATTCTAACTCCAGGCTTGAGGAACCACACAATGACCTGTTGTGGTTTCTTTTTTTCTTTTTCACTGTTATAAATCTACAGTCTTAAAATTTATAGATAATTGTAGAATTCTGCATTGACTGTTGAGAGTTTCTGAGACCTTTTTTTCTTTTTCTTTTTTTGAGACTTTTTATGTATAAGTGAGAATTACTTGAAAACAGATTCATTTCTAGATCCTGTCCCCACACTGTTGAATTAGATTTTCTGTATTTGGTACCAGGGAAATACACATTTTAATTAAGTACCACTAAACTTTTAATGAAAACAAAATACTCACTAGACTGACAGACAATATGATAGATGAAGAAAAGAATGTAACTGTCAATGCCTTCATATTATTTGGATCCATAATCAACACCTTTGATGCCAGCAGTCAGGAGATCAGGAGATAGATTTCATTGGGAAAATCTGCAGTCAGGGACCTCTTCAGATTACTGAGGAGCAACAAAGCCACTTTGAAGATTAAAGTGAATCTGATTTAGTCCATGGCCTTTTCAATCACTTGACTATATATCTGAGAGCTAGACAGTGAATAACAGAAGAATTAGAAATGCCTTTGAGTTCTGGTGTTGGAGAAAGAGTACTGAACATCCCATGGACTTCCAAAAGAACAAACAGATATATCTTGGAGAAAGTACAGCCAGAGTGCTTCTTGGAGGTAAAGATGACAAAGCTTCGGCACGTGGCTAGGAGAGGCTATTCCTTGGAGAGGAATAACATGCTAGGAAAGGTGGGGAGGTCAGCGAAAGAGAGGAAGACCCACAACCAGATGGATTGACTCAGTGACTGCTATAGTGGGCTCAAGTATGTCTGAAATAATGAGGATGACACCAGATAGGACAGAGTTCAGATCTCATGCTCATAGGATCAGTATGAGTCATACTCAACAAAATGACATAACAAAAACAAGTGTGGGGTTTAAAAAAATATTTTGTATTATTATTAATTTTAATGAAAATTTACAGAGATTTTGGATTTCCATTCATTCATTGTTACACTTTTCTCCCTGCCCACCCTTCCCCAACCAGTACACTCTTCTCTTTGAAAAGTAAAAGAAAAATTCTTTCATTATTATACAATCCCTCCACCTAAGTCCACTCCACTATACTACCTCATTCTGGACTCATGTCATGACAATAATACCTAATCACATCTCCCTTTTAAACAGTTTTCTCCCTCATCTGTTTCAATGCAGTATACATTATTTATCCCATCTTTCTCGGTCTTCACCCAACCCTTATGTCAGTCCCATTTCACAATAGTGGCACCATGCAGTATTTGTCCTTTTGTGACTGAGATATTTCCTTCAGCATAATATCCTCCAAGGTCATCCATTTTGAATAATATTTCACAAGTTCCTTGTTTTTCAGTGCAGCGTAGTATTCTATTGTGTGACTATACCACAGCTTCTCTATCCTTTTGTTTGTTGATGGGCACTTGTTTCCAGCTTGTGAACAAAGCCACAGTAAACATGGGTGTGCATATATCTGCTTGGGTGGCAGTTATGGTTTCTTTAGGGTATATTACCAGTAGTGAAATTGCTGGGTCAAATGTTATTTCTATTTGCAACTTTTTGAGAAAGTACCATAATGTCTTCCATAGTGGTTGCACCATTTTACACTCCCACCAACAGTAAATAAGAGTTCCAGTTTCTCCACAACCTCGCCAGCATTTGATGTTTGCACTTCTGTTAAATTTTGCTGTTCTTACTGGGGTGAGATGATATCTCATAGTTGTTTTGAAAAACAAATATTTAATGTAGTTAGTTTTCTTTTTCATACTTTGAGAATAGTCATACTGGTTTACTATGTGTCTGCTTCACTTTGCAACAGAGAGCCCACTCTTGGAATATTTTTTATTCTTAATCACTTAATGCACTTAATGTTCACGTGTACATGTCCTTAATATGATTTGTTTACTTTCCAAGCCAAAGGTAATCATTGGTTTGTGTATGTTTCCTTTCTCTATAAAGGTATCATCAAATGGTATTCAGTCCACTCCTCTGAATCTTGCAACGTACTGGAAGTGTAGTGCTGGCACCACAGACCTCAGAGTGGATTACAAGTACAACCCAGAAGCCATGGTGGCACCAAGTGTACTTTCCAACATACAGGTGATGGTACCAGTGGATGGCGGAGTCACCAACATGCAATCCCTTCCCCCTGCAGTATGGTAAATTTACATATATTTCTGATTTCCTTCCAGATGTCTGGGGCAATCTCCAGCTTTCAGAACCAAACTTTTTAAGTTTGAAGTTTGAAGTGTGTTTAACAATACAAACCATTGCTATAAAAGATGCTGTTTAATTAGTTAAGCTACAGTAACCTCAGGCCAAAGAAACAAAACTAGCTTTGCTGTCATCATCAGACTAATCTAGCTCTCAGGCAAATTGGTAACCTCTATAATGTCACTTTTTTTCCTTTCAAAAAATAATACTTCAATAACCCTGGTGGCACAACAGTTAAATACCTGACTGATAGCTAAAGAGTTGGTTGTTCAGATCCACCCAGTGGTACTAAAGAAGAAAGTCCTGGCAGAAAAGAATAACTGCTTTGCAGGATTAAATATTGTGCGTGGCATATGTTTAGATGTTTGAATAATATTTGCTACTCCCAATTCCTTAATTGCTTCATATCTCCTATATTATTATAGATTCTTAACTATCCTTATATTTACTTCACTATTTAATAATACATTGTCTATGATTATAAGATATTGAAATACTTTTAGTAGTTCAGTTTTCCTTTTTCTGACCAGTAGAAATGATAATTACATATTTGGTAAACATCCATTAATTGAGAAATAGGGATACTGTATACACTATGTTGTAAATATGCTTTTACCATGTTTACTGTTAAAAGCAAATTTAGCACTATAGTTGTTCTAGTGACGTTTTAGAAATAAGTTCCTTTATTGAATGTGTGTTGTGTGAAGTCAAGTCTGAACCGACCCATGGCTGACCCTCCGGTGGGTGTTCAGAAGTAGTAAATCGCACAGGAGGAGATTGTCCATTCTTTCCCCTTAGAGCAGCTGGAAGCTGGTGGATTTGAATTAGTTTGTCTTTGGGATTACAACACAGCTTCTTCCCACTAGGTCACCTGTGCTCCCTATTGAATGTGTATGAGAACACTACGTTGTGTACCATTGAATCGGAACTGGCCCATAACTGACCCTCCCAAGAGTTTTCAGAGGCAGTTAATTGCATGGAAGGAGATAGCCCATCTTTCTTCCACAGAGCAGTTGGTGGATTCTAACTACATGCATTCAAGATTGCAGCACAGTTGCTTACCACTAGGCCACCAGAATTTATCTAATCTAAAAAAATATTTATTCTTACTACAGGAACGCAGAGCAAATGAAAGCCTTTTGGAAATTGTCTGGTATTTCAGAAAAATCAGAAAATGGAGGTAAGTGTGTGCATACTTTTTTATTTATAATGTAAGGTCTTGGAAAATAGATTTTTTTACATGTTTATGGAAAGGTTCCCCTTAGAATTACATGCCTTCTAGTCAGTTCTGGGATTGGCCACTAGGTGGAAGTTAATACCTTAAGTAAGAGCAAAGCTAAGATTCAGAACACTTTTTTTCTCTCTCTAGATTGAATAGGATTTTTCTGTAAGAAAAAGAGTTTACTTTCCTCTAGACTTAGGAATACTATATAAGTTATTCTTTTTCCAAAATAACATAATAAAATGTGCCAAATAGTTTAGTTCATACTCCCAAAAGTCATTTAAAAGTCCCCTTGCAAACTTCATTTTCCTAAGAAAACCTGTTCTGGTCATTTTACCCTATTAAAATTAACCATCAACAGCTTTCAATTCTGTGAAGTAACTTCATTTCCTTTTCCTTTTCCCAGTGGGTCTGTCCCAGTTTGTGTTCATAGTGAGAAGGAAGAAAATTTCTGCGACTTCATCCTTCCTAGTATCTGACCCACTGACTCTTAATTAAAGTGATAGTTCCCAGAACAACCAGGCCTTTAATAGTAGATGATCTCATATTTGCTTAATCAAATAAAATTACCTTGCCCTCTTTTAAATATCCATTTAACTAGTAATAACTTTTTGTTGATTAGGTTTTTTGCATTTTGTTAAGTTTTGCTTAATTTTTCTTTTTGAGCATCTTCAAGTGCAATATGATTAAAACATATTCATAATTTTCTTCATAGATATTTCTTTGTAAAGAACCATGGACCTGTGTGTTGTCTATTCACATGTTCTGCCAGGCAGAAGCAGACCTTCTTATAGTTTTCATCTTACTGTTTTGTACTTAAAGGTTGCCTCTTTTTGGGTGGCCAGCTGTACTCTAGTTATATGATATTTTTTTAGAGTTAAGCTGACATTTTCAGTTTAAAGAAGTAAACAATTCACATTGAATTAAAAGCCATAACCCTTAGCGAAGGAGCTGTACTGCCAACCCAAAGTCACAAAGTTCAAATCCACAAACTGCTTTGTGAGAGAAAGATGGGCATTCTCCTTCCATGCAATTAACTGACTCTGAAAACCTATTGAAGGTTCAGCCATGAGTCAGTTCTTACTCAACAATACATAACAACAACTTAGTCAATATACCCACTTCTCACTTACTGACATGGTTGGGTTCCAAAGATAGTATGTGAAAATGAAGGATGATCTATAATTTTATAATGGCATAGTTAGATAATCTCATCTGTTTGTTCCAACTCTTCAGTTTCTATTAGATGTATTCTGTATAGTTTTTATTAGATATATTCTATATTTCCTTCCTTTCAGCCCTAGTTTCAGACCTCATTCCTTGGCATTTAGAATTAGTGACTTTCATTTGGTCTCCGTAGCTTGCATATTTTTTCTCTCCTCTCCTAAGACACTTACCTGAAATATTCTTGTCTCACTGTCCATAAACTTCTTGCCATGACATGTAAAGTTATCTACATTTAGTTCTTGTTGCCAGTATAGTCTCACCTGTTGACACACCTTCTACTTGTGTACCCTCTTCTCCAGCTTTTCTGGTGTATCTGCAACATCCTGAAGGCATCATACTCTCAGTTGTCCCATCTCTGGGCCCTCTGCCTATAGTGCATCATCACACTACTATCTATAAATTCAGGCAGAGACATACGTGGGGGCCCATAGCCCCAGAGAGCTCATTACAGCATTTATCTCACTTATGTAATGATTAGTATGTTTCTATCATACTATTAGGCTGAAGTATGTAGAATAAATGGTCATATCAAAAAGCACCTCAGAAATACCTATTTGGCATGATTGCAATATTAGTAAAATTTTTAAAAGAAAAGCCAATAGAGCGTACTAATTTTAATTCAACTCTTCTCAATCCTAACTGCTTTTCAATTCTTTACCTCTCCCAAATCCATGATGTAGATTTCCTGAGTCATTTTCTTCTTACTTTATCCCATCTACATTCTCCACAGGCTTCCTTCTGAGCTCACCTCACTGATTGCCTTCTGTTTTGGTTTACTCTCATATGCTTGTAGCATGGTGTCTTGTTAGTAAACATCTCTAAAGAGTTGTATTAAGTTAAAGAGATACATGATTTAAGATTACTTACTGAAAGTTCAAATTAACTTAAAATCTGGTTGGGAAACAGAACAATTCATTATTGTCTTCAACTTTTAAATTTGATGAATTTGTTGTTATTTGGCTTACCTGATCATTTAATTTTATTTAGCATGTATTTTACCCCTGTATAAGTTCTTTATTTGTTTCCTTGTAGGTTCTGGGTCCCTCAGAGCAAAATTTGACCTTTCCGAAGGCCCCAGTAAACCCACAACTCTTGCGGTGCAATTTCTCAGTGAGGGAAATACCCTCTCAGGAGTAGATATTGAACTTGTAGGCACTGGCTATAGGCTTTCCTTAGTAAAGAAGCGGTTTGCTACCGGTAAGTTGAGAGATTTCAAAGTTTCTAATAGACATGGGAAACATTTGCTTTTTAAATATTACAAAACAGCTGTCAAACAGTTCATATTCTAAAGGCATGGAAGTTTTTCTATGACCACATAGAAACACACCTGGGAGATAGAATACCTATGGTGGGGCTAGCTGAACACCTGTGATCTGATTTTAATGTATTGTAAACAGCAGATGGGAACTGAGTTCTGTGTCTGTAACTACAATGAAAAATGTTCTCCTTTGAGTTCATTTGGAATTATAATTACAAAGGTTTGCTTGGTGTTTTTCAGGACGATATCTGGCTGATTGTTGATGGACCCGGGAAAATAGTTGGCTCAAGGAAGTAGTAAAAACCTGCCATTCTGCATTATCGATTCTTTCCAAACACTATTCTAACTTGTATTATGTCTTTAAAGTTAGACATGTTTGAGCGCTAACTACATTTAATTGCACTTTTAAAGTCATAATTGAATGGAATAGCACTGAGATTTTCAGTGGTGTAAATGATCAACTGCAATATTCAGGAAGCACATTTATTCAGAATCTCAGATGAAGTTTTTATAGTAAAATTTAAAATTCTCTTTCGTGTCTATGTTGAAACAAAAGGGGTTATGGTGGAAGCATCAGGTCTAAAATTTCAGGAGAAATTTTAGATTCAGAGTAGTTTGGAAAATGTATGTTTGATATTAAATGAATACAAACAGAACAAAAATTCTACGTTTTGGATAATGCTAGCTCAACTACTCAATCAAATTGAGTTGTGTGCCATAAAGTAATCAGACTAGAGTCCTAGTTGTATGCAAAAAAATTTCTATCATTTGATTCTCAGATAAGCATATTAATGTAAATGGTGTTTTATATAATTTTTTAATCCTCAAGTGCAATGTGTTTTAAAATAAGCTTGCAAAAGACAGCAGAGATCTTTACTTCTGCAGTTAGTTAACTTTATAGAAGTTGTGATTGTTTTGATGAATTAATGCTATAGATTTAATTTATTTTTATATGGATTGCATAACGTGTGCCTTTTAAAACATTAACAAAAACCAGAAATGTGCCTATCTAGTTGATGGTTGTTAATGTGTCTTACTTGTTTTCTTACAATCTGAATTTTCTATTCAGAATCTTAGGTGGTCAAGCAGTTTTACAAGATATTTGCAATTTTAGTAAATATCTTTGCCTGCATTTTAGAAAGGGATTCAGAGTAATGGAAAATAATTTATACTTAAGACTTCTGGCTCATTTCCTTAGCAATACACTGTAGCCACTAGAAAGAAAACTATACTTAATGGCATATATTTATAGGGGGGAAATTTAACTTCAGATATTTTCTATTAATTTCATCAAAAGTATGTGAATTCTTAAACATAAACTCTGAAACACTATAATGAAAAATTGGCAGTTGGTATTTTTACTCCCGTTTAGCATTCTAGAATTACTCAATTTATCATTGAAAATTTATATAATGATTATATTGCAGGTATGGATTTTCTAGCATTTTATGGGGAATAGCATTCTAGATAAGGTTAATTTTGGCAAGAGAGTCATTTGTTTTCACCAATTGAAAAAGGTATGAATGTGTATATTTTTTTAATTGCCACTTGTTAAAAATAGAGCACTTATTTGAAGTAATGTTTTGGTTTAAGTATTTCTTAAACTATTAATATTAAATAGTAAAAAAATAAATCTAACATCATAGCAAATATTGACTAATTACAGAAATTAAATGTGTTGGACAAATTTTCATAATTTACAAACGGTAATTTTATTTATAATGTCAGATGCCCATGCCCTTCATTTTGCATAGTAGAAGTGACAAGTTGTGTTATATATGATAATTTATGTAAAACCACTATTCTGTTCAACTTACAGAAAATAAAAACCATTTTTACTAAACACTTAAGTAAAATCTTCCTATACTAAAACAGCAGAAAAGTCTTTTCTTTAGCAATATATAGCACAGTATGTTCTTTTTAATATATTCAGTGTTAGCCCAATTCTAAATTTAGATTTGACTGAAGCAACACATAAAACAATTTGCTAACATGTTAATCTTTACCAAATAGTGAGCAAAACTAGAGTTTCTAACTCCTCTTAATTTATGCCTTTTTACATGCCAATTACTGTTCTTTACTGGAATCACAACTAATCTGCTTTCCATCAAATTTTTTTTATTGAGCAGTGAATATTATTGGAATCCAGACTTTATTATACTTACCATGTTTTGTTTTTTAAATCAAGTATTACCTATCAACAAATGTACAAATTAGTGAAAAGGTTAAGCAGCTGCACTTTCGTAATTACTATACTCTTCATACCAAGTGTTGATACATAAATTTCTTTTGGGTGCAGGATACAATTTTGAAGCCATATAATTTTATATCGATTTTCCCCCTTTTCCTTTCCATTTAAAAAATTTCCACTAATAGTGTAAAACAGACCAGTAGACTTTCAATGGAAAATGTATTTAGCAAGCTGGTTCTTGCTTGTGTATAGTGATAAACTTTGTAGCTTCTCGTTAACCAAGAATTTGTAAACACAGAACTCTAACAAATGTAAGTTTTTAAGAGTTGTTATTTACTACTTTGGGTTGTAATTAGAACAATGCAAAGCTATCTTACAAAATTTTGTAAATATTTTTGATTTTTTTTCATAAAATGTAAATTTTACATAAAAGTTGTACCCTTAATAAACATGTAATATATAATTTATCATTTGATTTTTATATGTGTATATTCCTATTGAAATGAATAACTGTGCCATAGATGTTAGGGCAACACATGCCATCCAGGAGTTTGTACTTCATACCACATTTTGAACAAGCATACACGTGGAACTATTTCATCTTAATTAACAGTATAGAAAAAACTTCATTTAGAGACTCTCCAAAAAATAGTGAAATTCTTTCAAAAGATATTTTTGTGTTTGTGTTTTTAAATACATAGTAATTGTGGTTAAACTTGAACAGAGACCTTCCTCCTGACTCAGCAACACAGTCACAATTTTAAAATCACATCATTCCAAAGAAATAATAATTAAATCTTTCCCAAAACAACAGATTTTAAGAGGAACAAGGGGAGGGGGCAAAAAAAGAGTTCAGGATAAGTTCAGAAATTTTTATAAATCTGAACTAGAACAGGGTTTATATCTTTTGCTCATAGGGTCATGATGAGTTGTACTCATCTCAGAGGCACCTAACAACAACAACAGAATATATAGATCTAAATTATATAAAGGATCACTTGACTAATTCTAGATCAGAGCTGGAAAACCAGTGGAAAGAGTAAGTTGTCATCTCGTGTCACCCACTAGCTGCCTTAGAGTTGTTTCTGACTTCTAGTGACCATCCAATGATTTCCAGTATGTCCGATATTCCTTTTTCTTCATTCTCTCCCCTCCCCTTCACTTCTGTACTGGCTGCTTCCAGTTCGAGTAGCTTGGAAATTATGTTATAACCACAGTCCTACACAGCTTTGCGGAGGAGCTCTGGTTCATGCAGTAGCTCAGGGTTTCGGGCTCCTTCCATTTCCTGATTCTGCTCAGAAACTGCTTCTTTTGCCAGTCGGAGGCAAAAGAGCAAAAATAGGAGATTCTTATGGGACATCATTTCTACCCACACTCCATTGTTGTTGTTGTTAAGGGCCGTCGAGTCATAGGCTCTTCATAGCGACCCTATGAACTAAAGTCCTTGACTCTTGCATGACTTTCATCCTTTCTCCAGCTTCATAGGGTTTCCGGAGGCAAACTATTTACAGAAGTGGATGCCACTCCTGCTTCCAAGCTTGTTTTAACCAGGGAGCCCCACCAAACACTGTCCACCATGGGTAACCATTATCGCATTTGACACAACAGTGTCACAGCATTTAGCTTCACAGCAACCAAACGTTATCTCTGTAGGGCATGTGGACACACCAGGGCTATATGACCTAAAAGAATGTTTGACCAAAAACATTTAAGGACTGACTTGAGGGCTGCAGATTAGAGTCACCCACCTTTGGCTTGGTAGCATCACTTTCAGTCCACTGGGCCAGCTGGTCTCTCTGCATGTTGTTAAGTGCCATTGAGTCATAGGCAATTCATAGCGACCCTTTTGGCTTGGTACCACACTCCATTACCTGAACCTAATTTTGCTTGTTCTTTTGATAATCTGTGGGATACTCTACTAATAACACAACTCATCTTTATTCATTGCCCAACTTTGAGATATAAAGGAAGTAATTGAAAAGGCCTTTGTTTGATTCTATTTAGTATAGCATCAGGAAACTAATTCAATTGCCATTTGGTCATTTCCAACACATGATGACTCTCCATCAGGTTTCCAAGCCTAGGTATCTTAACAAGAGGTGACTTCTTCTTTCCTTTGGTGCAGGTGGTGCCATTCTGTCAGTTAGCAGCTCGACACTTAACCAGTTCCACCACCAGTTGTTGTTTGATGCTGAGTGGGCCCTGACTTAAGGTGACCCTGTAGTACAGCAGAGAGAAACCCTGCAGTCTTGTGCCATCTTCACGGTAATTTTATATGTTGTATGGTACTCTGAAATTTTCTCCCACTTCTGAAGTAATGGGCCCTTGAAGATCATATTAATAGCAGAGTAACATTGTCTGAAACACTGCCATGAGACTAGCCCCTCAGGTTGAAAGACACTCAAAGGCTGGAGCAGAGAACTCAACTAGGATCTACCTTTATGATACAGATAACACAACCTGCACAAAGTGAAAACTTTTTGAAGTACTTGGTGAAGATCAAAGACTTCAATATGGGTTACATCTCATCATTAAGAAAACAACAAATCTCATAACTGACCCAATAGACAGCATCTTGATATATGGAGAAAATATTAAGGTTATCAAGAATTTCATTTTTTTATATATATGTAAGCAACACTGAAGTTGCAGGGGGAAAAAAATTTAAAATGTATTGAAGTGGAAGGCATCGCACTCCCTCTGATCTCAAAACCTAAAACAGCATGGTACTGGTACAATGACAGGCACATAGACTAGTGGAAGAGAATTGAGAACCCAGAAATAGACCTAGCTATATATGGTAAACAAGGAAATAAAACCCATCAAATGGGGAAATTACAACCTTTTCAATAAATGGTGCTGGTAAAACTGGACTGCTACCTGCAGAAAACTGAAACAGAATCCACATCTCACACCATACTAAAAAAATCACCTCAAGGTGAATCAGAGACTTGGAAATAAAGCCCAAAAACCTTAAAGTTCCTAAGAGACAAACAGGGGTCAAACTTAGAAGGCCTGTTGTTGTTATGTGCCGTCGAGTCGTTTTCAACTCATAGCGACCCTATGCACAAC